AGATATGTTAAAACTAAAAGCAAATGAGAAAGATCTTGACAAAAATTGCTGATTATTTGTGTATTCTTCTATTGCAAAGATAGCTAATGCATCAGGTTACAGTAACAATGATTCTTTCGATACTTGATTTTGCAAGTTCTATTTGTTAGCATGGATTTCTGTGATTCCTAATACTGATGTATTCTTATTTCTTTTTGTTTCTTGGCTAATTCTATTTCAAAATTATATTTGTAGTGTGAATTCAGGAAGTGATGAAAGAATGGAAACAAAATTTTAAAGAAAATATTTAATATTACTATCACAATTGGGTTAATTACCATTAATATTTTAATAGACAACATCCACTTAACTAGGCTTATAGAGACTTGGTGCATATTCTTGATAATGAGGCAGATGGGGGGAATCTGCTTTCACAGAAGTTGGGTGAAGTTGTGTTAATGTATCATTTACAAAAAGTAGCAGAATAGAGCCAAAGTTCTATCCTGTGTTACCTGTGAGATATATATTTGCATACTACAGTTTTCATACTATAGTAGGCACTCAGTCAGTGTGTGAGTCGATTCATTTAAAATGGTCTAGGGGCCGGCACTGTGTTGTAGCAGGTAAAGCCTGCAGTGCTGGCATCCCATGTGGGCACTGGTTTGCAGCCTGGCTGCCCCACTTCCAATCCCACTCTCAGCTATGGTCTGAGAAAGCAGTAGAAGATGGCCCAAGTCCTTGGGCCCCTGCACCCACGTGGAAGACCAGAAGAAACTCCTGGCTCCTGGCTCCGGATCAGCACAGTTCTGGCCATTGCAGCCAATTGGGGAGTGAACCAGTGGGTGGAAGACCTCTCTCTCTCTGCCTCTCCTTCTCTCTCTGTGTAACTGACTTTCAAATAAACAAATTCATTTTAAAAAGTAAATAAAATAAAATGGTCTTAATGGAACATGTCACCTTGGTTCTGCTTAGCCATGGCAAGTTCCTCAATCATATAAGGTAATCTTCGGTGTGCTGAATCTGGCCCAAGAATTCATGTCTGATCCTTCAGAGCTAACTTACGAAGCTTCAGATAGCTCTACAACAGCACCATCATGAGACAGCCATACTCACACTCTGAAGACTGTTGTTATTCTAATGTTTCGAAGCATGAAATGAAGACAGTGTCTTTACTTGTTGCCTGCATGACTTTTGTTTCTAGTCCACATCGACAATTAGGAAAAGCAATGGCAGATTGGAACACAATAATGTCATTCTATAACCTCTCTTTGAGATCCAAAAGGGTAGAAATCGAGCATTTTATTTGAGTTCAACCCATAGATCACATACATTACATTTCTGTGACAGGGAACAGAGTATTCAAATCCAGAAAAGGGCATTTAGGTATGAACTCAACTAAAATGAGTCCTCTCTCCTCTCTCTGACACTTTAATTCACCTTTTCCTAATGACCCGCTAAACTCAAAACAATATATTTTATGTTATTCTTATACATCAAATTATCAAATTATGACAAATATCACCTTTTGTCCTTCACTCTTAGATATTAATGTGAATAAATTTGCACGGATAGCATAAGAAGTACTGAGTATGGTTTCTCATTGTGAGAAAACACTGAAATTATGAGTTGTTTAAAAAGTATAGACAATCTAAAAAGGAGTTTAGGGATTTTCCAACCTTTTTGTCAATGGGAATTTCATGACTTATTGAACACTTTCACTTCTTCTCTTGGTCCATAGCATCCTTTCTAGAGTGTGGCAAAAAAGTGAGAAATTTTATTGAGGATAATAGTTTATACCTGATAACAATGAGTGTGTACATATTATGCAAAGGTGGCTCACAAAAGTTAAGTGCATTAACATTAACATTTTAAGCATTTTATGAAAGTAACCTAATTCAGAAGCTGAGGGAGGGATTGAAAATAACCACCACTGGCTTAGACAGAAAAGTCAAGGGATCATAAGACTAAACACAAATCTATTCTGACTGGTCAAAAGTTTCCAAGGTTCCTTTCTTCCTGTGCTTACTTGGGTGTGTTTCTTTGTTCCTGTGTTTGTTTAAGCATATAGGCTTAAGCCATATCCTGTTATCAATCATTGTTATAGCTCATAATAGCCACAATGGAAATTCGTTTATGAAACAGAAGGCCTTCACCCTAATTAGCGATCAGGTGAGCAAAGTTACCTTTGAGCTTAGAGATGCTGTGTATCAATATATCACCAACCAAACTATCTATTATCTGGAGACTAAGAACAACACCTAATGCAATATTTTCCCAACTTTTGGCAAAAAACATTGAAATTTGGAGTCTGTTTATCAACAGATCTAAATGCTAGAAGGACAACTCTAGCGTTTGAATGGTCAAAGAGCTGTGATAAATTCACTTATTGGGTGTCACCAAGCCTTTAAGTGGGAGAGCCCTTTGTAGAGGTTAATAAATCCACGATGATTTTTTGGCTGAAGGAGTGTAGCTCAGTGATAGATCATTTGACTTCATATCAAATCAAGATTTTTAGAAATAAGTGAACAAAAAACGATTACATGTCCTAGCTGGGTATTTGTAAGCAACACACACACTACAGAGACAAACCAGGATTTTGATTCTGTGGATCAGCAATCAACCCTGAGTTCAATCAAATCCACACAAATTCAGGGAACATCATTCATTCCTTGTTGCATTCATTCATTCAGCAGCCATTTTTTGAAAGACTGTTTAGGATGGAGAATTCACAGGCAAATGAGACAAGGCATCTTCACATTTAACAAACTCACAGTTCTCCTCAGTGACCTATGACATGAATGTTTTTAAATAATATCACACAGTTGAAGTACATCTGTTTTGATAAGAAATGTGGTGGGTGAGGGGAAGAGTACATTTGTTGCAACGACTTAAAGTTGCAATAATAGGGGTAGCTGCGTTCCCCAGAGAGCTTCATTTACCTCATTCAACAGTCACTCCTTTGTTGACACAGTTCCCACTTCTCACAGGTATGATCCTCCTTCTCTCAAATCTGTATTCCAGGTTCCCCCAGTCACAACATTTAATATCTTTTAAAATATATTCTGCTTTACTTTGAAAGTAAAGATGCTAAAGGAATAAGACAAGTGGCATGAAAAACTTTTAAGGAATGAAATTTCAAAAATGTAGTGGTGCCAGTGACTTTTACTTACTTTACCTAGACAAAACTACCCCCAAACAAACAAACTTCAAGACTACATTCTTGAAGCCGTGAGCTCTGTAAGCAACAACACAGAATTGATGGGAGTCCTAATAGCTGAGGAACCTCTGATTGTATTTCTCAGTAGCAGCCTGTATTAGTCAACCCCAACACCCTACTGCAGCAGCATCCACATAAGAAAGCAGCTCTTCCCCCAAATCTTCACAGTGAGATTTGCCAAGGTGTATGGTTTACCTGCAGAGCAACAGAGTTCCACCTGTCTTTTCACTAAGCACATTTTTTTTCATTTATTGCATATTTGCAAACCTCTTCCTTTTTTTAACTTTTATTTAATAAATATAAATTTCCAAAGTACAACTTTTGGATTATAGCGTCTTTTTCCCCCCAAAACCTCCCTCCCACCCGCAACCATCCCATCTCCCACTCCCTCTCCAATCCCATTCACATCAAGATTCATTTTCAATTATCTTTATATACAGCAGATCAATTTAGTATATACTAAGTAAAGATTTCCACAGTTTGCACCCACACAGAAACACAAAGTATAAAGTACTATTTGAGTACTAGTTATACCGTTAATTCACATAGTACAACACATTAAGGACAGAGAGCCTACATGGGGAGTAAGTGTACAGTAATTCCTGTTGTTGATTTAACAATTGACACTCTTATTTATGACGTCAGTCATCACCGGAGGCTCTTGTCCTGAGCTGCCAAGGCTATGGAACCCTATTGAGTTGGCTATGGAACCCTATTGAGTTCGCCAACTCCGATCTTGTTTAGACAAGGCCATGGTCAAAGTGGAAGTTCTCTCCTCCCTTCAGAGAAAGGTACCTCCTTCTTTGATGGCCCATTCTTTCTGCTGGGATCTCACTCACAGAGATCTTTCATTTAGGTTTTTCTTTTCTTCTTTCCTCTGCCACAGTGTCTTAACCAAATCATTGAGGTAGAGGAATCCTTCAAAATGAAAACAGCTTTCTAAGACTGTCTTATAGTACAGATCATTTGCGCTCCACATCCAACACTTTAAGGATACACACTGAAGGGATGGATGGAATGGAGACTAGCACAGCCCAACCATCTAAGATGGAGCTGAGGCCAGGTCAACGAGGTAATTTGACTTTTCACTGGACAAAGAATTTTTAAAAAATTATTTTAAATTTATTAGGAAAAAGGATTATTAAATATATATTATCAGAAGTTAATTTGATATTAAATTCATAATACTACTCAGCAAAATATCAGTAGAGCAAGAAATTATGAGATTTTGTCACTTTGTAGCAATATCCATTTGCTAGAGTACAAATAATAAATCCCTACACTTTACTTGGATTGAGAAAAAAATACTGGAAGATAACAGATAGAATTTCCTCTTTGTAATATCTTTCAAGGTATAGATCTAACTTTGCTTTTTTTCTTTCTAATACTAAACACTGAGCAACACATTCTTAATGAGAGTAAAGTGTCATTTTGATATAAGCTTAACTCTGATGCACAAACTCCTGTATAGGACAAAACACAATTAATGACTCATATATGCTGAACATGAAAGAAAGTAAAAACACAAATTTTAAATAGAAATGATAAGGTCATCACTTTGTATTCTTGTGCCTTCATCCCATAAAGAAAAGGGCCAATTATCACAAAAAAAATCAGCTTAAAATTATTTAAATGAAATTTATTTTAATTCACTTTGCTTAAATATCTACCTATTTGATCATAGAAATATGCATAGTCCCAAGATCACTTTTCAGGAAGGGAGAAAAGATAGGAAAAAAAAAGGAAAGGAAAGAAATGAAACGTCTCTGAAGTGGTACAAGTGTATTTCGTATTCTCACAGCGATCCAAGGCTGTTGGTTTTCTTATCTCTGCTTTTAGAGAGAGAGGACGCAAGTCAGAGAGTTTATGGAAATTGCTCGGGATACCAAGGTAAGTTGCAGAACGAAAACTCTCTAGACTCTGGTCCACCTGCTTCTGTCTAATCTGTCTCTAAATTCTGCTTAGGGTTTTGCAACATACAAGGGGTATTTTTTGTGTTTGTATGTTTCTTTCTTTGGTCGGCAGAACTAAGGCTATTGGGGTGATAATACTTTAATTCAGTGTCTAGAGACCTAATTTAAGCCATTTCTTTCCTTACCTGAATGTAAGGGGACAGATAGATGAAAGGGAAAATGCCATCTTTTTTTTATCATTGCTGTTCTAATAATTAGAGTAAAAGTTACAACTTGGCTCACTGATTTATATTGGCAATGAATTTAAATTGTTTCATGTCCACAGAACGACTCTGAATTTTTAAACTCAATTTTATCTTTAAGAATCAGTGTCACAAAGTTGCATGTTATTCAAAACACAAGTTTTCCTTCTCTTAAAACGTGATTTCACAAGGTTTTTTTTTTTCCCCCAGCTTAGTTGGAAGACTGCCATCTACTGAATCAACAATACCTTCTCATGTCCTACCTGAATGATTTTCAGAATCAGTACTCTCTAAAGTTAAAATCATGCACACATAGAGAGATCATTTTACTTCCTTTTTGCAAGTTCGCTTGTGACATGCACTTAGCTCAGATATGCAGAAAACGTTAGATTTTCAGATATTTGCCTAAAAATCTAATTTGTATCGAATTAAATTTATTCACTGCAAAGAAATTCTCAGTGCTAACCTAATCCACGGCTCCGCTGCTTATGGGGTAAGATAGTTCTCATGTAGCTGATGATCTAAAACATATTTCTCTGCTCTGTCCTTCTTGTCTGTGCTCCCACCTGGCATTTGTCTCATAAATCCAAATGCAAAAATCAGATTTCGCAAAGTGATTTTTACAACTTTTGTAATTACTTCACTTTCATTGTGAACATAGGCCTTACTGTTTGTAAACCCCGGTTGCCAAGTTAACGACAATAGGAATGGGAAAACACTCAAGACAGCCTTTATCCTGAAGACCCAAGATTATTCAGTCAGAAGGAAGCAGCCTATTTTTCAGTTTAATTGTAATTAGTAACAATGTCTCTAATCATGTGGATTTTTTGTTGAATATGCTCATATGTGTCCCTTTCTTGCCCTAAGCTATTTTTTCTTCCTTTGCTCAAGTGACAGGCCAGCTCAGGGAATCAACAGGAAAACACCATATTTATTTCTACAGAATATTCCTTTTGTGTGTTTTTTTGTTTTTGTTTTTTTTTATTTTTTTTTATTTTTTTTTTTTGGTTTCTGGGATACAGCTGTCACTTTCTGGAGGAAAGAAAAGGTTGTGACCTGTGTCCCTTCCTTCGTTCAGAGGAGATACCCTGGACCCCCAATGAGGAGACAAGATGGTTTAGTACACAGAGTCCTTCTACAATTATGACTTTGCTCTCTATTGATATTATTATAAAAATGTCATGAAGTTAAAAAAAAAAAGATATATTGGGAAAAGGCATTTAAAAATCTTCAGGTTTCCAAAGCCCATCTCTAAATACAGAATAATCAGAATGAGACATCTTCAAGTTTAGAAATTACCAGAAAAAGACAAAAAGACAACAAAATAAATCTATGGTACTTCTTCATTCTAGTTAGTTTCAGTATGTTTGTAAAAATGATACTGATATTATAGTATATAACAATAATATATAGTAACTGGACCAGTTACTATATATAACATTGATTACTCACATGGTTTTATTTTTGCATTAATAAAACCTAAAGCTAAGTCCATAAAGTTGCAGATAGAAGACCATATTAAAGTATATACCTCTGTAAAATTTTTTGTGGCTGCAAAACAATTTTAATAAAACCCCTATGCATATTGCCTTAGTTACAAAGGTTAGTTATACTGTAGCTTCCTAGAAACTGCTTAAACTTCCTTGTATATATCTTTATGATTATAGTTTCCCACCAAAAGATCAAACTGGGAGCAAAAAAATAAGTGCATTCTTATTCACAGATTTACAGGACGCTAAAACTTAAACATTGATAAGACAGAAATTACTCCAAAGAAAACTATTTTCACTGGGAGAGATGAGATATTTCCCAGGGGGGAAATAGAAATATGAATTTTTACAGCTGAAAGAAACATCTTAAAGTTATTGAATTTTAATATATGACAGCCAAATAAATTTGTTGCCCCTGCTTTGTAAACACTCAGTATCTCTTTCATAAGATAGGTTTATCATATAATTGCAAGAACAACAGAAATTCCAGAAGTGAAATAGGAAAGTTCAGTAAGAATATCTCATCCCTTGTTGTTTTTTCATCGTGAAAGACAAATATTGGAAGATTTAGTCTCTAAGCTCATGTCCAGTTTGTGATTCTGATTCCACAAAATGTCTTTAAATCCCTCTCATCACTACAACCACCATCCTGCTTCTTCTCTGTTTACCTCCTGCATTCATCTGCAATTATAATGAAGATGCTCCCTCTCCTCACTTCGGTATCTCTTCTCCGGTGTCAGTCCTCTGATAAGTAGAAAGTCAATGAGTCTGTAATTTTTACCTATGGGAAAATGATGAAGATGTCACATAAAAGGGGAGAAAAATGTGACAGTGTACAAGTCCTAACACTGGATCAAAAAAGACATTTCTCTCTTTGCAAGAATGTCCCTTCTCATTACCCTGGGCTTTCACCTAACATTGGATTGTTCTTCAGGTTTTGCTCAATGCTTTTAATTTTCTTTGTTCTTGTCTATATGCCTTTGCTTTCTATTTGTTGTCCTTTTAGAGCACAAGAGTTAGATTTGCAATCATTCCAGCTCCTCCGGTATACATTTGACTTTTACCACCAATATGCCTACTACTATTTGTGTCAGCTTGACCTTCCTGCCCCAAGGGGCTGATCTTGTTGAGAGACGTGTGTTGTACTTGAAATTTGAGGAACCCACCCTGTGAGGAGGCTGTGGTTGCAGCTTCCCTGTGGTGTGAGTACCAGACTGGAGATTAGGAAACTCACAGGTTGAATTAGATTCTGCCAGCTAAATAACTTGTCACCATATAGTTATAAAGTATGTGCAAATATTCTTTTTCTTTCTTCAATGTAAATAGCTCTCCGTATTCTGCTCACATATCTTAGTAGGGAGATGATAATGGTTTATTCTACTAACCGAATTGAGTTTTTTAATGCTCCCTCCCACCCCCAAACTCCATATAGGAATTAAGTTTACTGTGAGAGTGACGAGAGGGAGAAATGTTAGTCATAGTTGATTTCTATTATTCTATTTCAAACGACCCGTACATAACTCTGGAGTATTGGTTTTCCAATGGGATTTGTGTTACAACAATAGGTTATTCCATCTTGATTAAATCTAGTCCCTATTAACTAAGAAGACATATTTAAACAAATTGTATAAGTCCTAACAAGGCTTCGTAATGATGCTAAGCTTCGAACAAAAAGAAAACATGCCCCTTTTGTTTCTTTGACCTATGGCTAGGAAGAAAGTTGGATGCAAATATTAATGACTTCAGCTTTCTGAACCTGATTCATAAACAGTGTTTGGTGGAGAAATTAAAATGTTCATTGTCTACATGATGAACAAAAATAGGAACTTTTAAATTATGAATTGGGTTAACATCTGTTAGGCAAACTGTTTGCTTAGCTTTATTTTGCCATTTCACTTCCCTCAGTACCCTCTGTCTCTCCACACATCTGGGAATGTGGTGAGAGCACCGCAGGAGCAATTATAAAGCCAGAGTCCAGTTAAGGACCCTGGATTTTCCATTTTTAGCCTCTGCTGCAATGTAAGGATGTCCCAAGAGTGGTTGATGTGGACTCCACAGGAAGAAATGTCCTGATTTAAAATACAAATAAAGCAACAAAACAAAAGAGAGGCTTTGAAAAGGCCAAGGGAGACATGCAAAACAAACTGAACTCTACTGAGAGTTCATTCAAAACATATTATTGAAGATGCAAAAATATTTTCATTTAAAGGATGGTACATTATCTATTACAGAGAAATGTTTTAAAAACAAGAGTTAAAACTTTAAAAAAAATAGTGGAAACTAGTTCAACTATGCAGGACACAGAGATAACTAAAGGCGGGGCTTTGCTATAAAACAGCTCCGGGTTCTTACCTTGGATCTGCTACTTCCGGATGTTCTTGAAAGCAAACTACAGCTTTTGTTTTTGCTTTTTCTAAAGGCTCAGTTCCTCCATAGACAAAATGGCGATATGAGGATGATATTTCCCTTATAGCACTCCTGGAGGACTGAATGCAATAATGCATAGATGTCCTTACCAGGGTATTTGGCATGTTACAAGCATAAAATGACTGACAGCTGCTAATCATAATGAGATCATTGAGGACCAGGGTTACTGATGATTTAGTAGCATTCAGGGGATATTTAATAAATCCCAAAAGTGAAACTGTGACAGTGATTTTTATGATGAAGTGATACACAGAGTGACTTGCGAAACAGCAGGAAGAGGCTCATCCACTGAAGAAGAGAAACAATGTCTGCTTTCGCCATGCAACTACCACAGTTTTCCTAAGTTCCTTGACTGGGGGAGGAAGCACTCCAACAAGGCATCGCAGGTGTTCATATAAACTGAAAGACCACAGACACTGCTACCATGTTGAAGAATTAGACCTGGGGCCATCACTGGCGCAGTAGCTTAAGTCTCTGCCTGTGGCACTGGCATCACATATGGGTGCCAGTTTGGGTTCCCACTGCTCCACTTCCGATCCAGCTCCTGGCTAATGTGCCTGGGAGAGCAGTAGAGATGGTCCAAGTGCTTGGGCCCCTGAACTTCTGTGGGAGACCCTGAAGAAGATCCAGGCTCCTGGCTTTAGATCAGCTCAGGTCCGGCTGTTGTGGCTCTTGGGGAGAAAACCAGTAGATGGACCTCTGTCTCTGTCTCTCTCTCTCTCTCTCTCTCTTTTTATTATTTGACAGGTAGAATTACAGACAGTGAGAGAGAGAGAGACAAAAAGGTTTTCCTTCCGTTGGTTCACTCCCCAAATGGC